CTTAACTTAAGAAGAAGAAAAAAGAACCACTTTTGAATCCTGGGCTTGTCATTGAGCTAGTAGAGTGACCTCAGGAAAGTGATTAACATTGCAATGTCTGCATTTCCTCATTTGCAAAATACCAATAAGTGAAGGTTAACCATGAATGTGAAAGCGTTTTGTAAAATAATGATGTGGCAAGATTTGGCCTGGTTCCTCCTGGAATTGGGTGTTGATAGCAGATATCGGTTAAGTAAAACTAAATACATAATAATCATTTCCCCTTAACAACAAAACCATACAATGACTAGGTTTTTTCACAAGAAAAATTCATCTCATTGCCTGCCCTCATTGCTCTTCTGAGAGGAGACTGAAAGCTTCTGAGATCAGGCCAAAGTCATTTCCACCCATAATATCTTCCTTCAGGTATTAATCAAATATATGTTTGTATCACAGTTCCAAAGATTGAGCCCAAAATAAATTGTTTTGATAACCTCATTAACCATATGTCATACATCTCCAGGGAGAAACTTTTCAAATGTTATACACTTTAATAATGATCTTTTTATTTACTAGTGGACATTGGTCATCATAAATACTTTACAACCACAGAGCTTTCAAAATGAGTATGTTAGATCTAGAAAGAATATCCACGGTCACTATGCAAAACTCGCTGTGAGTCACCATTATAACAATCAGCACTTGTTAACCATGTCACCCAGGTGTTGCTTTCTCTTATGAGATAGCAACTAACTTTGATGGAGTTCATCCTTTGTGTTACATGGTTTACATGCACAGTTTTAGGCATTCTTCACAACCAGCCCACCAGAGGAAGTCTTAGGTTTTCATTTTATAAAGAAGGTAACTAAAACACAGAGGTGGTAATTAACTAGCCCAACATGGCATAGAGCTAGAAAGAGGAAAAGCTAAAATTCAAATTCATATCCTTCTGACTTCATAGCTGCGCTCTTCCCATGATGACATAGGTAATTTAGTTTGCAAATTTATGACAGTAGGTGTGTCTATCTATCTATCATCTATCCATCCATCTACCAATTTATCTATCTGTATTTTTCCTAGTAAATTGAATTAGGTACAAAAAATAAAAGATAGAAAATGGAATCTGGTTTATGATAAGATAAGTTCCAACTTACATATGGGATCCTAGCTTTACGAGTTCGCTCTACAACCTCTTTCAATCCCTCGATGTTATTATAATTCCTGCGACTAAGCTGGAAACCAAGATTCCAGTAGGAAGGCAGGAATGGCCGTCCAACGAGCTAGAAAAATAAAGAAGTGTCCAAGCATTTAGAATAAACACTGTTTGTAGCAACATGTCCAATACAGACAACTTTGTCTCCATTTCATTATCTGTTAAGTTCTCAGATCTAAAATATCAGAGCCAATTCCTTGTACATAATTTATTTTCACTAAATTTTTATTTACTGCATGAATGAACTTTACTGATTTGTAGCCTCAGGTCTTCAGGATGACTGATCATGCATGGTTGGACCATGAGTTCCTTGAAAACAGCACAGCATCTGTTTAAAACCTCACTAAATGACTTATTTTTACATTTCTCAAGCCTTGCACGGTGTCTCTTAGCACACGGAAGGCACTCAATAAATGCGCATCAGAATAAACATACGATGAATGGAAGACTCACAATCCCAACGTATATGATCCATAGTTTGCCCATAAGTTTTATTTTTCCCAGGCTAATTTACAATGAGTGTATGAGATAGCAGCAAAAAAGACTATCTAACTACAAAGCCATACCTCCAGGTATTCCTGAACCACTTGTTCTGGAGTGTCTCCCAGGAACACATAAAAGTCAAAAATGCCCCCGATGGTGCGGTAAGTGATTGCAGGAGCTGGCTGAAGGGTGACCTCTGCAAGTATTAAAATAAGAGCCATTATAATTTCATGGTTGAAAATATATTCTTCTGCAGAATTTAAATATGTGAGCTATCGAAAACAGTCTGTCTCATTTTGAAAGAGATGAAAATCACACCTGTTCCTTTGCATGATTGCTGAAGCTTATCAAATATTAAATGAGTACTGCACCCATGAGGAATTAATTGATCTTTTTAGGATAATGAAAAACAAATTCTATTTTAATCTGGCCATATAAAAATACAAATGTCTAGGATTTGCTACTAATTTCAGAGAAAAGAAAAATGTTTACAACCTTATTAGGTCATTTGACCTACAATTAAAAATAAAAATAAACCCTCATCCAGAAGCTGGAGGAGGAAGATTCTGGAGTGGGGAAAGGGTGGGCTGTGAGGAACAGCTATAGACGGACAGTATTTTACATGTTGAACCTACAGGTGTCTTTGGAATGGGCCTATCAGTGAATCCTATCATCTACAAAATATTATGGGAAACATTACACAAAAAGAGACCTCTGAGGCCGTTTTCAATAAAAATAGCTTTCAGCATGAACTGGATTTGTAGACAGGTTAAACTGCTTTCTGTTTCCAGTTTCTGATGAAGCATAGTGGGTCCAATATGCCTCCTGTTAAACCGTGATCTCACCATATGAGTCATTTTTATAAAAGCGGCATCCCCATACATATTCCTGCCAAGGTAAAATGATGTTTCCTACCCATAGCATTACTGTTCATCAGAAAGACCCCAAAAGAGGAGCCACTGGTATCTTCAAGGCACAAGAAGAATGTGTGGGCTCCATACAAGTTAATCATGCCCTGTCAACAAACATGAAGAGAAATAATAGTACATATGTAAAATGTTCTTATTCACCCCAAAACATAACCAAAAGCCATGCACAACATGTACTTGGTCAACATATGTTGTAGTTAGTATTGTACCCAAAAGGTATTAAAATGGTAACATCAACGTGTGTTTATGATATTTCCACACAATGGGATACTCTGTGCAATAAGAAGTGAAATGCTAACACATACTACAACATGAGTAAGTCTCATAAATGTTATGCGAAGTAAAAGAAACAGACACAAAAGACAATAGGCCATGATTCCCTTATAAAATGTCCACAGAAGTAAAGTCTCTAGAGACAGAAAAATTAGTGATGGTCTGAGACAGGATGTAAATAGAAATTAAATGTAAAAGTTTTTGGAGTGATGAAAATGTTCTAAAACTGGATTATGTTAATGACAGCACAACTCAGTGAATGTACTAAAACCATTGCATTGTACACGTAAACCAAGTGAATTTTATGGACTATAATTATACCTCCATCAGGTTATTTATTAAAAATTAGAAATTATTTGTAATGACATAATAAAATGATAGCAGAAGATGACAATATTGTGAGAAATTTTGAATGTCTTCTTTATGCGTAACTGCATTTTCTGATCTCTCTACAATTAACATATACTTAGGTAGTAATAAAGTTTAAAATTTTTAAAAATGAAAACATATTAAACCTGTCACAGGGCTCTGATGAGAGCACTAATATAAAAAGAGACAATGTGAACAATTGTAAGGGATATCAGAATAGTATATATGAGACTATAACATATGGAAAGCTTTATAGAAACTCCTTGTGTGATGTTGCAAAATTAGTCCTTGGCATATAGGGCAATTGTACTGATGACAGTAAATTCCAAGAGAGGAGAAGAGAATCGGCATGAAGTGTAAAGTAGAGAAGGCTAGCAGACCTATGCAACATTAGGCCAGATTTAAAGTTGTAGCCAGGAAGAGTTATGGCATCAGCCCTTGGCTACAATACAAACTAAATTTAAAAAGTTAAGAAGAAAGAAGGAGAGGTGGAGGAAAGGAAGGAAGGAAGAAAAGAAGGAAGGAGGGAGGCAGACTGGCTCTAATATTGTCATTAAATTATATATATTCACAAAGTGAACTGTTTTGAGAAGTTGATATGTTAGTATTGTGAGTTTATAAACCTCAAGAACAAGTACATACTCTCCAACATAAATTGGGCAAAATAGTAAATAGGCGAGCTCTGTAGGCTACTTTACAGTTTTCCTCCCTCTGTAGGCTACTTTCTGAAAAGCAGAGAAGGTATGTATCCCTCACTGTGAGAAATCAGGAGAAAGGGCCCCTCACCTTGGTGGGGGTGGCATCCCGGGTGAAGATGGGCCAGGTCTTCCAGCTCATGTCGTGGCGGTACTGCTGGTGCACGTGTTCTCCCAGCCCATACACGTTGGCGCTGGGCAGCAGGAAGGACAGCTGCAGGTACTGATTGGCGAACAGGAGGGGCCCAATGCTCGTGTCCAACCTGGGCCAGGGAGGAAGAGCGAGAGTCACCAAACCAGCAAGCAGCTCTCTCTGCCAGGAAATGGTCTGCTCCCTGCCCTGTACACTTCGAGAGCAGTTGTTTCAGGTCTTACCATCCACTTTCATGCTTTTGGAGAAGGCCTTTCTAGGGTGTCTGATTCTTTAATTCCAGAGGAGCACAGCATTGGAGATTTGATACCAAAAACTCAAGTGGGATGATTGCAGGATGAGCAGACCTGACCTAACATTTTCTGTGCATCTACTTCATGTATGCGCTATACTGGGTGCTTTATAAACATGGCCTCAGTACATGTAGCAACAGCAGACGGTTTGATTCCCTTTCTATGGACAAGGAAACAGACTGAGGAGGTGAGGTACTGGGCCTCATATCACATAGCCTGGTGACCTACTAGTACTGGGATTTGAATCCAGCTTTTCCTGATGTTAATTATTGTATGTCCACTAGCACAATTTATGACTTAAGTTTAGGCTCTCATTAGGTGCTGGATGGTAAGTTCCCCAGGAAATCATAATTTGGAATGCTAAACAATGAAGGTGAGTTCCAGTGTGAGTGGTAATCCAAAATAATAACATTCCCTATTTCATCATATCCAAGAGTATATCTATGACTCAGCAAACCAGCACATCACATTTTAGTTTTTGTTTTCTGGTCTGTCATCATTACATATTCACAGCATTAATGATTTTTACTGAAAGATTTGACTTTTTCTGAGAGTCAAACATTTTTCCAAATATACTGAGCTGATCACCTGCCCACAGGAAGTCAGAACGAATGACATTGGGACTGTATATTCAAAGATATGCAAAGAGTGTTGAAAAGCTCACAAGACTTTTTTGTTGCTCTTCCTCATTATTTTGATGCCAAAGGGTTTCTCTATGACCTCGACGTGATAGCTCCGGTTGGTGGAACCAGCAGTCATATTAAACAGCTTAACATGCTCATGGGAGACTTCATAGCGTGTGTTATTGGTTTCAGTGATCTGTCAGGAGAAAAACAGAAGGGACAGCTCCAGAACACAAAACTTCCCTTTAGAGCTACAAAATATTCTCACTCCCACATAGCCCCCAATGAGAATAGCTTCCCATTCTTAACCCTGTGTTTCCTGATTTGTGAGAAGAAACCCCCAATCAGTTGTCCCCCATCAAATAAAAATGAGCCTGCCCATCAGATCTGGAGGTCCCTGCAAAGAGAAACAGAGGTACACCTGCTTCCACACTTCTATGCAGCGCACAAAGGAGAATAAGCTGAGCCCTGCGTTCTTCGGAGTTATATTCAATGATAACTACCAAACTGACCTTAAAACGAAGACGCCTGGGTGTCTGATACTCAGCTGTGAAGTTGGCATTAGGGACATCATTTCCAAACCGAGGTGGGTTTGACAACTTTTTCAAGCCAGCAGTTAACCCTGCAGTTGGGGGGACAGAAAGAGGAGAGGGGGGTATGAGAGGGTGAGAGAAAGGGAGGGAGGTGGAGAGAGAGAGAGAGAGAGAGAGAGAGAGAGAGAGAGACATTTAGCCTTTATTTTGCAGTTAACTAATCTGGCCAAAGAGTTGTAGCTGTCAGAGGGGAAGAGGGTTGAGGGCTGGGTAGAAAAGGTGAAGGGATTAAGCAAAGACAAAAAACAAACAAACAACAAAAAAAGCACACCTCATTGGCATAGACAACAGTATGGTGATTATAAGAGGGAAAGGGGGTGGGAGGAGATAGAAAAGGGTAAAGAGGAGGGGTAAATGGTGACAGAAGGAGACTTCCCTTGGGATGGTGAACATACAATATACAGATGATGTCTTATATAATTGTACACCTGAAACCTATATATTTTATTAACCCATGTCACCCCAATAAATTCAATAAAAAATAAAATAAATAAAAAGAAGTGCTTTGGATATAAACAACAATAGTATTGAATTATACAGCTATAAGAAAGAGTTGTTGGGGACACAGTGCTCACCTGTGTGTTCATGTTTAAGGCTTCCATTGACTTCATAGCCCCAGTTCCTGGGGAAGAAGCACCTGGGGACATTGGTGTCTGACACAGGCTTCCAGCAGCACTTGTATCTATCCCGGCAGGTTTCCTGTAACGATGGCACAGAGTTAGCATTATATGGAATGAAGGAAGGAAAGTATTATGTCTGTTTATTTATAACCATTTTTCCCAAGAAGAATTTAAGGTCGCACCAAATTACTTTCAGTCATTTATTTATTATTTTATTTATACACTTATCCAGCCATCCAATATGTACTTATTTCCTACCAGACAAGGAACTAAGAGTAGAGATAGATAAGACACAGTTCTTGTCTGGGAATACACAGTTCTTCACAGGGGCTAAGGGGATCACACCAGGCCTCTTACCCAGTCTAAAAGGCTACCAGTGGGGTAGGGAGGGCTTCCAGGTAAGTAAAAGGTAAGCTCAGTCCTAATGCACCAGGAGGGGGTGGTAGACAGGTCAAAAATAGAGCAGTATTCCAAGCCAACAAAATAGTCGTGCATGACAGACCCAGACATGCCACCAGTTCATTGTGCTAACACCGAGTAAGAGAAATGAGGCTGGAAGCACACCATGTCCGCACAGAGGTGAGCTGGATGAGGACCAAGTGGATTGAGCTTTCTCAGGAGGAAGAGTCATGGACATGGCTGATGATAAATCATGAAGACGTGTTTTCTAAAAGGTAAGAAAAGTAAAGCAAAGGAAAATAGAGAAACTTAAGATAGAACTAGGACAGCGGGTGACATTAAAAATATCACATGTGGCTTCTCAGAGAGGTTTGATTATACATTTTTTAAATTCCCCTTTTTTGGTGAGATGTCTTTTCAGAAAAACTTACATAAGAAATAAGCCAGTCAGAGAAGGATCAATATCACATGATCTCACTCATTTGTGGAATATAATGAACAACATAAACTGATGAACAAGGACTGATCCAGAGACGGAGAGGCATTGATTGGACTGTCAGGCCTTGGCGGGAAGGTAGGGGAGGGTGGGGGTAAGGGGGAAAGATCAGCCAAAGGACTTATATGCAAGCATATAGGCCTAACCAATGGACACGGACAAAAGGGGTGGTGGGGGGCGGGTGAGGGCATGAGTAGGGTGGTAGGGGATAACGTGGGGATAAGGACACATATGTAATATCTTAATCAATAAAAAATATATTAAAAAGAATTGTTTTGTTATAATAAAATAATAGATGGCAAACTGATTCAAAGTGTTGAACTAAACACAAGCACTCATCTCTTCACCCAATTAAACTTACATAAAGGGATAGAAATGCCATTAAGAAAAAGAATACAAATTCACTCTAAAACAGTAAAACATACAATATGACAGACCAGATGTTATGAAATTCCTGAAATATAGAAAATAGATGTTATCAACTCTAGGGGAAAATATATTCATAGTCTAAAACACAAGTGGAGAAAAAGAAGTGCTCTAAGCCAAGTCAGTATAGAGATTAAAAATGAAATGAGCCAGGCTGGTGTGGCTCAGTGGTTGAGCATCAAACTATGAACCAGAAGATCATGCCCTGGTTGCAGGATAGATCCCCAGTAGGGGGTGTGCAGGAGGCAGCCGATAGATGATTCAATTTTCTCTCATCATTGATGTTTCTATCTCTCTTTCCTTCTTTGAAATCAATAAAATATATTAAAAATAAATAAATACATAAATACATATGAAATGAGTGCCTGCTCTGTTCAAGTAGTTATATAAGGTCACATGACACAGTGCTGTCAGCAAGCATAGTAAATGAGACAGATGCCACCATTAATTAAATAGACCTTATTTCCCTACTGGTTTGAAATGCCACTTTTATTATAAACTAAGTTTAATTGCACATATATGAGAATATGAATATGTATTTTGAGATGTTCTATTATATTTCAGTGGCATATGTATCAATTCCTGCTATAATTCCACTATAGTGTCAGGATATGCTTTGCTTTTAGTTTAGCAGATCAATAAATCTAAAGGAGACTCTTTGAAAAGATCAAAGAAATACGATTATTTCTTATCAAATTCTCCTTTGACAAAAAGAGAGGGAGACAAACATGATTAGAAACAAAAATGGGAATAACAACAGATACATATGACTTTTTAACACAAATAAAAGAATTATGGGACAGCTATTTGTATATATATTTGCCAATAAATGTGAAACTGTAATTTGAATCTTTAAATAGTATAATATTAAATAGTGAAAATTAGGTGGGAATAAATAGAAAACCTTTGAAGGACCAGTAGCCGTGGGAAACTGTAAATAGTAAAAGATTTTTCCTTAAAAAAAATGATATCTTGCCCAGATAATCTGGGGAATAGAATATTCTTATATTATATGTCAATATATTTTTAGAACATAGGAAAAGGTGGAAACTTTCCTGACTCATTTTATTAAACTAGAATAATTCTGACAACAAACTAGACAAGGAAAGTCCAAATAAACAATTAACCAAAAATATATAGTGAACTAATTTCACTTAAAAATAATGATGTATAAAATTTTATTAGATGTTAGATTTTAATTTATTAGTGCATTGAAAATTTAATGCATACTAGCCAAGTAAGGATTATCAAGAGAAAGCGGGAATGGTTCAAAATTAATTAAGCAACATTGACAAAAGAAAATAAAAAAATCATATGACCATCTCAACAGAAGCAAACCATTTTTAAAATATAATAATGTGATAAATTTAAATGACCTAAATTTTAAAAGCAAATTATATAATAATATACACAGTATAATTAAATCTGTGTTAAAACAAAACAAAAAATACATAAATACATGTGCAAAATATATGCAAAAGCACAGAAAGACCAAGAGAAAAATACACACCAAACTATTGATTGATTCTGGGGAGAGCATTTGGAGGTAGAGAGGAAGCTTAATGAATGAGTAGGACTTTCCCTTTTATTCTATTCATCACTATAATATCTGAATATTTCTTATTAAAAGAATATATTTATAGATTTCATGATTTAAAAAAAACCAAAGAATATGTCATAATACTACTCATTTGGAAAAGGTATAGTACTGACAAGTATGCTGACATCTGATATAATTGCTCTGAAAAATCACAAGAATATATCTTACATCAATGTTCACCATGCTTATTATAAACAAAGCAATTACATTATAACTATAAAATCTTCTTTAATGTATTCATTTATTCCCCATACATGCAAATTATGTTCCTGCCCCATCCTCTTCAGATATCAAAAGGCTGAAGGGGGTCAGTGGAAAAAGAGTTTGGGGGTGTTGGATAACCACTGGATAACTGATTTTCCTAAGTCTGAGGCAGACATTAAGCACTCTGCTGCCTCTGAAACTGAGGTCTATAAAGTCCAAAAGGTTAGTTTCATTGCCATAAATTGTTCCAAAGTCCACAGACCTCTATAAAAATCAATAAAACAAGAAATCTGCTACATTTAGGTAAACACAAATTTTTGTGCATGCAGCCTGCCCTAACATCCTTATTTCAGTTTTAAGCCATTACCAGTACCACAGAAACCAAAGGTCAGATGTTTAAGAGATATACAGGGTGGAGCAAAGGTAGATTTACAGTTGTGAATACAGGAAACAGAGCTCATTTGTATTATTATTTACTAATTATTGTTATTTTCCATAAAAACAACTATAAATCTACTTTTGTACCCTACTCTGTATATTTTCTTCTTTTTCTATTCTCTTTTAAATATATACTTTTCTTTATTTCAGAGGCAAAGGGAGAGGGAGAGATAGAAACACCAATGATGAGAGAGAATTATTGATCGGCTGCCTCTTGCATGCCCCCTACTGGGGATTGAGCCTGCAACCCCAGGCATGTGCCTTGACCAGGAATCGAACTGTGACCTCCTGGTTCATAGGTCTATGCTAAACCACTGAGACACACAGCCTGCCACTCTTTTTTCCATTTTCAATGTCATTACAATAACACAGATTAGTGCTACTTAAAAAATATAATGGATTGTATTTACAATAGAAACTATGCATATGAAAAATCTAGGAAAAAACTTCATAATGCTTATATAATACAATACATATTAAGAAAAACAAGAGTTAAAATGGAAAGACTTTCATGTTTTTAAAATGGGATGATTCAAAATTATTGAAATGTCAATATTGCCTAATTTTAACCTAAAATTTAATGTAGTACTTATTAACATCCCGATAGGATATTATGGGATATAGAATATAAAATATGAAGTAAAGCAGGGTTCAAATAGTTCAAATTCTTGTAGAAGCCACTCAGAGAGAAAATGTTGGCTCTTTCGCTCAGGTTCACCGGGCTCTCTTGCCAATAATATGATTCCAGAAGACTCTTGTGGTAACAAGTCACCTGAATTCACCAAGTGACTCAGTCATTCATATCTGCTTGGTGGGTTCTGTTCTCAAGGGATACATGGTCTAGTCCTAAAACAACCTTTCTGTGGCTGCCCTGGGAATAACCCTCCACTAGGAACTCTCCCTCCACTCTGGATTTCAAACCCCGTGGGCCAACACTCCTATCATTTCCTACTCCTCTTACCGTTACACTATCCTACTTCCCTCACTTCTTTAGTGTTATTTCAATAAGACAAGAAAGAAACAGTAACGCCAAACAAATCAGAGTTCCATAACCTACTCCACCACCACTCTCTCCCCACTTCACGCACTCATTTTTTTTTTCAATAAAACCCAGCAAGTCAATGGCAGGTCGCCCATTCCTCTGACCTTTGACACCATCTCGCCAGGCGCACAGTCTATCCTATGTGATTCAGGGATCTCAGTGCACTGTGGACTAAATGGAGGATCTGCATAAAAATTAAAGAACAAAGTTAAAATTCTGTACGTGCATAATCATGGTTCCAGGAATGAAGCAGTGTCAGACTTTCCGCCAATTCTCCAGTCAATGAACACTAGAAGCTGCAATCTACATTTGTATACATTTTCCAAGTGTTAAATACAGTTGCTTTTAAAAGAATGGACTTATACAGATTTTTTTATTTAAAAATACCAAAAGAATATATATTTTATATTTATTCTATATTTTTATTTATTTATCTTCCATACATGTAAATTATGGTCCTGCCCCATCTTCATTTGGAAAAGGTATAGTACTGACAAGTATTTTGATATTCTCTTAGAAGGTACTCAGAGAGAAAACATTGGTTCTTTAGCACAAGTTCACCGGGATCATTTTGCTTTCGGTTTCGTTGGTTTTTATTGAGATGCAATTAACATACCGTAAAATCCACCCTTTTAAAGTATACAACTCAATGTTGTTTTTGGTATTTTACACAATTGTGCAACGAATCACTACCAGCCAATTCCTGGCAATGACACTAAAAAAAACTAAAAGATTCTGCGTACAAAAATAGCAGCAACAACAACAAAAACACAATTAACAGAGTGAAAGGGTTTTCTGAATAAATTCTACAGGTCTGATGTACAAAATTGTGCCTATAGGTAACAATGTTGTATTATACACTGAAAAACCTGTTAAGAGGGTAAATTTCACTTTAAATGTTCTTACCACCAAAAAAAAAAAAAAATGAAAACTCCTTTTCAACTCATGGAAACTTCTTGGAAAAACACATCAGGGCAAGCCCACTATGTAAAACATTTAAAATTTGAAGCATTCTGCATGAATTAGAGTGTAGTTTAGAATGAATGCAGGTGCAAAGATCTAATTTTATGTTAAATAAAAGAAACTACTTATCCGTATACACTGGACAGTAATCTCACGGGACTTGTGATCCAAAAATATTGATAGGGAAAAAGCAGTAATAGGTCAAAAACAGTTTTTATCAATGGTTTTCTAATCATCTTGCAAAGTCATAGTTGTTTCTAGAAAGTGTCAATTTACTGTGGAGAGTGGTGAAGAGATTGAGTCAGTAAAGTTCTTCTATCAGTATAATTTCTTTTTACCACGTGTTTAATCTACATTTATAAAGTAAGCATTATCAAGCAGAATAAACCTAATTGAGAATAGATTTTTGTATAGCACTTTTTTTCTTATTTAGAATATAATGTGTGATTAAAAGAGAAAGCATTCTGTTTGATGCTTCTGTGTGAGAGAGAAAACAGTTTCAAAGATATCTAGGAAGAAATCATAGCTGTTCCAGCCAGAATATGGACTGGAGGCTAATTGTAATTGATATATGGAAGCCAAGTGTATCAGCCCTCCCCTTCTCTGTAACCTAATGCCCTTTGCCATAATGTAATTGGATTGGGCACAGTTACCTCAACTGTTTTCTCCTTGAAGGCCCTATTATCTCATGACTCTAGGTTGAAAAACAAGTATTTGATGGGCCTAATTGTGCATCTTGTTAAATTTGTTTCATATGATACTTTTGAGGCCTTGAATATCAGGAGCATTCAAGATTTAATTGCAGAAAAAGAACACAGCTTTTGGAGATTGACCTAAATTAGCTATGGATGTGAGTTATAAATAATGCAGTGTGGTGGCATGCCAAGGAGTGAAGGAGTAAGATGATTTTTTTTTGGCATTCTGAAGGGACTTCCTTCCAACTCAGCAGCCATGAGTATCTCCCTTACCTGGAGTATTATCAAGCACCAGAAACAGCAAGAAGATATCTGCGGCCAATACAATTAGGAAGCAGATGAACAGAAAGATTTCAAACACACCGAGCTTCCTCGCCATCTAGATGGACACAGATAACAGGATTAAAGCAAACCATACAGTCCCATCAATCCAAAAGAATAGCTAGGCATTATGATTAGAATGGGAACTCCCTTATAAGATGACTAGATTATCGGCATTTCTCTTTACATAATCTAGAGAATATTTTTTCATCACAGTGTCTCCATCTAAGTCTAATCCATGCATCCAACACTACTACGGCTCTTGCCCTTTTTGCCTGCAGAGGGGTTGAGTATTGCCCAAGGAAAAAATACATCAGACATGAAGATGAGAGGGAGAGAGGAAGAGGAGGAATGAAGTACAGGAGAAAGATAGATGAGGGGTTGAGATGGCTCAGAAAGCCCTTTCAGATGCCACTCTGATCTCCACAACCACCCTGGGCAGTAGAGAGGAGGGTACAGTCTGGGACAGAAACAGCAGCAAAACCTGAATCCACGTCTTCTTTTAATAATTCCCATGCCATGATGTAGAGGTGTTTAACTGTTTAGAGGTTACTAATCCTTTTTACAATCTGCTAACAAAAACTAGCCTAATCTTGATCACCAACATAATGCTTGCTTGTATTTTCACAACATATAAACCCATATAAATTTGGTGGTTCACAGAAGCCCTGAAGACCATGTATAGGCTCAAGTTTTTAAATATTTGGTGTATTGGAGGGAAATCAAAGGACTTCAATTCTTGGCCTGGATTTTGTATTAACAGATGGATATTTTAGCTATTTGGATGTGTGTTTCTTTTTCTACAAGATGAGCTCAGATTCAGGAGGTACTCTCATTCTGGTACGCTAATTATATCGAATGAAACATTATATATATATACTGAGTGGCCAGTTTATTATGGCCACCCCATCAGTACTTCGCTGGGCCACCTTTTGCCTTCAATACTGTGGCGATTCTTCTTGGCATTGACTCCACGAGATGTTGAAAGGTGATGGAGGAACCTGACACCGTGCCTGATGAATAGCACTGTCCAGTTCTGTGAGATTTGATGGTTGTGGAACCAGCTGCCTGATGGCTCTTTTAACTTCGTCCCACAAATGCTCAATTGGATTGAGATCTGGTGATTGTAGGGCCACCTAGACAAGATAAAGTCTCCCTCACGTTCTTGAAACCACTCCTGCACAATA